TCCGAGGTATATAGTCGCGCGTCTCAGCCGGCGTCGATAATCGCGTTGAGCAAAGGAGGACGGCCACACAAGGAACATTTATACTAAAATCAATGATGAATGAAACATCTAGAACACACTAAGTTCGCCCGTGTGTGTGCACACTCGTTTGCTCACGCAGCCGTCGACGTCGGCCGAAACGTTCTTTTTGTGTGAATGAGTTTATAAGGTTTCATAGGGTAACTTAATTTAAGAAATGCATTGTATTAAACAATATTTTTGAATATAATATGTCAAACTATTTGTTTTACAATATATGACGCAGTTTAGCAAGGTCTTTACCCTGACCTGACCATACTTTTAAATTTAGTAATTACAGAAAGTTAATTGTTCAAAATTTTTGACACCATAATTGTTTGAACATCACACTTTATAAATTTTCATTTTAAACCAAATTAGCTTTTTATGTGCAACGTGTAGTTTTTGAGCAACGATTTAGCCAGCGTTTCATGACGCAGCCTGTATGATTCAGCCATGGACCTAGATCCCGGCAAGTGGACAACCTCAGCTCCCCTGCCTGCAGGTGGCGTCAAAATTTACTGTTTTGTTCCCACTCTTCAAACTGCCATCAAAGTTATAGGGTCTATCCTTATGACGTCAGACTGCCTTTTAATGTCGAGTAACTACAAACAAGCATGGCCGCCGAAAGCAAGGCGGTTATCTTATTGGCAAATTTCTTTTGCTTTTTTCTCCGTAGAGCATATGAATAAACGTTATGTTAGCGGCCACGTTTGTGGCCGATGACTCAGCATCTGAATAGACTTAACATCCAGCAAGCTACTTTCTAAAGAAAAGCTGCTTGATAAATTTTAGAACGTAATTAATATACAAGACATGTTCTCTGTTCCTTATTCTTTTATAATAAAATGCTGAAAATTCTTAATCGCAGCAGCATCGTGCCTTAACGACAGAGGCAACTGGCCTTCGGACGTGCCGCGGTACTATTCAACCAAATAAATTGGTTGAATAGTAGATCGAAGTTATCAAGTCATCAAGATGTCAATTAGGGCGAATTAAAATTTATTAGTCAATAGTCACTCGAAGTAATCAAAAGAGTAATCGTGATGTGACTCGTGCTCACAATACATCGGTTAGACTTTAATTTGCTCAAAGTAATGTCAAGAGTAATCATGATGTCAATTAGGACGAATCAAGCTCCATTGGGTCAATAGAAAATCGAAGTAATAAAAAGAGTGATCAAAATGGGAGCTAAGCCGAGAAGAAATCCCTCCGTGGTATAAACGCTCGAGGTAATAATGAGAGTGAGGATACTGCGACTACTACTATTACTACTACTACCGCTACTACTACTACTAACTACTTTTAACTACGACTACTACTACTACTACTACTACTAATAATAATAATAATCTGTATCTTGTGTTCACAAACAACACAGCCTAAATAGCAGAACACAGTCCGTCACTGGAAATGAAATGCACACAGCCACATAGATCCAAACTTATACACAAATTATCGACTCCAGTGTACGTCGAAAAGATGTCACGTCACTAAAAATGTCTATAGCGGATTGATAAAGCCTGTTAAATTTCAGCTGCATTCTTGTTAAAGGAGACTTATCATATAAAGTGCGAGGGTAGAACGGGCTCTGAAACCGACTTGACCGCAAGGGAACATGAAAATAAAGAGTACTTAACTGTCAGCTAGCCCAATACAAAGTCAAATAGGTCACTAGTTACTCAAAGTTATCAAGATGTTAATAATGCTGATATTAACTCAGTTCTGTGACTAATATAGCGGGGAAAGATAGAAAATAACCACTAAGTTATCTGACTTAATTTAGTGAGTTGGGTGAATAGTAACACGGACAAATCAAAGCAGTAATCAAACACTTAGCTGAACTTTGTGAGATCGTTTTGTCAATATAAATTAAGAGTTATCGATTGAGTAATGAAATGTTTTGTTGTATAAAGTTGGTTCTGTCAATAATAGCTATATAACCAAAAAGTAACCAGAATATCAAATGAGCTTGTACGATGCTATATTTTTGTTAATAATTCCTCGAAGTAATCGAGAGTGTTATACAAATGTTTGTTGAACTTTTATTATGCAAATACTGTTATTAATAGGTCGAAGTAATTAGAAGTGGAAGCGATTTTAAGTCAGCGGTGTCAATAAGAGCAAGAAGTAACAAAAAGTGTATTCACAAATTGCATTTGTACTTATATTACCTGAACTGTATCAATAATATGTCGGAGTAATTGGACAGAGGAAACGAAACGTCAATTCAGCTAAAGTTAAAAATTTATCAGTGGTCCCCAACAAAATCTAATTGTGTAAATAATTACTCGAATTTATCAAAAATGAAAGCCAAACACAACCAGTGACAAAAGCGTGGACGTATATATCGTGGAGTAAATTGACTGACCCAGGGATTAAATCGGGTAGCGCTAAGATTAAACGGAATGGCGCTTGAAATAAATTGAATGGCAGTTGGGCAAAATTGACCACTATTTGGATTAAAATGAGCGGAAAACCGTGTAGATCCTGGGAAGTAGCGCTATTGCCTTCCTTGCCTGCTAGCCGGACGCAAACAGATACTAACATACAGACGACCGAAGCCTCGCAAGGATAGCGGCTGATCTGCCATACACTCTTAGTTAGATCCTGGCTAAAATGCACGTATATAGGCAGGAAAGCGGGTCAAAATTTCGCCGCTTACAAGCAGTTGGTTTAGGTGTCTCAACTTATGCGGCCCGTTGTTATGAGGCCCAGATTCAAGCGGCTCGTTCTCACGCGGATCAGGTATGCGGCCTGAATTTACCAGGCCCTTTGACATGCGTGACAATTTCATGCGGTATTTGAGATCAAAATTTTCCTGGCTATAAGCGGCCTACGATTATGCGGCCTAAAATTTAAACTGCGGCAAAATTATGCTACAACGCCATTTTTGCGCCATTCTCCGCATACTTGGGGGCATGGACAGCCGGCATAATACTCCGACTAGCTGTTTCAGGATCTGGAACACAAGTTTCAGCAACACAACAAACGTCACATGAGGGGAATCGAACCCGCGCCCGCGAAGTGAAAATCAGACACCATAGCCACTACGCCACAACCGCACACATACAATGCTCGCGTTGTCGTATGCTTATATACACAAGAATTGCTTGCTAAACTCGTCGACCGATGGGGGAATTGTATACATTGGTTTGATAAGTGCCTATCAATGGGAGAAATCTTGCCCGAGTGGTGTTGCGAAAAAGCATTATAAGAGTAACCAGACATTGAAAGAGTGCCAAAAGCATAGTCTTGCAAAATATAAACCGTTTTCTGGCACGCTAGACGAAACAACCGCGGAATCGGAACGTAACCCAACGCACAAACCACCTTCTTCTGCGGGCTCTTCGGATAACTGTAGATATATAATTGGTGTGCACGGGCGCCCTTCCCTTGGCGAGCGACACAAGGACGTTTTCGTCGTACCTTTGTTGCTGCTGCTCCAGAAACGTATATGGTATATTCCCGGCCTTCAAAATGTGAGCGTATTAAATACCCGAGTGTAACCTGCTATAGAGCCAAATAACTAGCGCCCTTAAGTACGCGATGTCTAACGCCTGTCGCGTTAGGCACATGCAGGATTATCGGGAACGTGATTTTTCAATTTCTGCTAACAGCATCAATGAGTTTCATTAAAAAGTGTCAGGAATTGTGCATTACACTATAAAAAAGCCCGTGCCTCTACTTTCCCGCACAACATTGGGAGAGCCAATCAACTTACGGAGGCAGCTCAGCGAATGACAATGCCGAAGCATATGTTTACACCAAAGAAGGCAGTTCGAGTTGTGACATTAAGCAATGCAAGCGTGCATTGCTTAATGTCACAACTCAGACTGCGTTTCTTTGGTCTAAACATATGTTTCGGCATTGTCACTCGCTGAGCAGCCTCCGTAAGTTGTGGTGATTGGCTCTCCGAGGTGTTGTGCGTGAAAGTAGACGCACAAACTTTTTTTAGAGTGTATTAGCTTCCATTACACAAGAAAAAAAAAGAACAGCTGATTTCAAGACAAAATTGTTTTCCTCTAAGCGGCACGCCCATCATATTCAATTTTTCTTTCAAGCGCAATAAAGTATTTGCTGAATTGAAGCTTTGGTTGGGGCTAATTGGTTCATTAAGATCTAAAAAAATTAAAAAGGGCAAAAAAAAAAAAGGAAGGACGAGACACGCACAACACGGACTGGCACTTTCAACTGATTTAATAAAGTCAGTCAAACCCAGCGCGCATCTGTGAAGTCTTGTCTATCACGCCAACCTTTCGTGATAAAAGCATCCCATACACAATAGGCCATCGCGCTGGGTTTGACAGGCTTGATTAAATCCGTTGAAAGTTAGCACCAGTTCGTGATGTATGTTTCTTCTTCCTAATTTTTTTTTTTTTTTTTGCTTTTAGGTTGTTTAGAGCAATAAAATATTCAGTTATGTAATTGTTTGTAATTGCCCACACAGTCTGTTGAAGGGTGTATAATCCATTTATTGAAATTCCAAAGAACGAACACATTAAGAACTCACACTACTATCACAGTTAGCCCTTTTTCGTTGTACGAAGCATGGAATAGCTGTACCCAAGCACTTTTCAACAAAGATTACAGTGAGATCAAGATTCTGCATTCCTAAGAATATTTATTACTGTTAAACAAAGTACTTATTACTCTTTTTACTGAAATAAATGTGACCGAATGTAGGTAAGTTATGCAAGTCACACAAACTGTATTACAGTATTAACTAAAAAAAGAGATCAGGAGCTGCTGTATTCAGTTTCTTACTGGAAAATATCACAGCATCACTATCTGCGTCTTGCGCTAACGTTCAGCAATCCGAACACATCTACTTGTGCCCATTACTGTATAATAAATACCAACATAGCAACATGTTATCATATACCACTGGGATCCGCAAAGAATGGCACAAGTATACTTTGATTTCTACGTCATCAGGCTGTTACATTAATCGTGCATTTGCAAAAAAACTACTCTTTTTTATGCACTTGCGTTGTAAGATGAACGAGTACTTTCTTACGTTAAAGCCAGGGATATTCTTCCTCTGTGAAATAACACCTGCAGTGACTTTGCCGCAGTAAACATATGTACATTTACGTAACCTTCATGCTCTCGAGAATCTTTACGAGCTTGCTGTTAGCCCAGCAGCGGGGAAATTTTTCACCATTGCTTATCGCACTTTGCACGAGCCCCAACGTTTGCGCAAATGCCGAGGGGTATGTTATGTCCTTGACATAATACACCGTTAGGCAAAGGAGTAGAGCCTTCTCCAAAGTAGCGTCATTTAGCTTGATGATTTCGCCAGGCCCTCCACAAGAGACGATTTTTGTCGATATGCCCCAGAAGATCCTTGGGCCAGGAGATGCTGTGTCCTCAGCGGAGACGTCGCTCTGAAAAGATGTTTCCTTTTTCAGAAAAAACGCTACACATTATACATATATAACATTGTACAACACTTTCCCCGGACACCTATTTAGGTTTCACTGGTACGCCTGTACAATGGTATTGCAGTGCAGTTCCAAAAATATTAACTTAAGCTGTCTGTGCCCTTGGCCTGTCTAGCTAGTTCCCAGTGCTAAGACGCTGAAAGCATCCAAAAACCAAGGAATTTGCAGAAAAAATTCACAGCTGCTTTATACAAATCAAGTGGAACCTTTTAAACTACATAAATAATAGCCAATGACAACAAATTTTTTTTTGATTTGTTCGCACAAATATCTTACTCACCAACCAGCTTACCAATGTTCCAATAGCTATCCCTAGCAGTGTTAATAATTTTTTATGCTTAACTAATGTGTGCACTGTGCCAATGCTGTTTATGAATTTTTGTACATACATGCTTTCGTTGTTCAACAGCTGAAGTTAACAGTACAATCAAGGGAATCCTGCCCGTGTCATCAAAGCGACAGTTGTTGCCTTAATGACTTTTTAACCACGTGAACAGGAAGTTGATTCAATTATTGCAAAACAACCGTGTTAACCACAACATATGCATGTTGGTACTCACCAAGCAGAATTTCAGCAGCAGTGCAGGTGCTGTTATTCATGACCTCAGAGGAACTGATGCTGGCACCTTGCGAAGTAGACCCTTGCATGTTGTCAGACAAATCGCATGACTCGTCTTCAAATATACCTGCAAACAGAGCGAATAATCAAGCTGCATGAAGTCAGAAATGTCATTGTTGACGCCGTATAGTCATAAATACTGTCAATGCCTACAATTATGCTGTCCTCACGTGGTCTTTTTATCTATATGGCAGCAAAAATGACACTTCCATAACTTCAATTTATGGAACTGGTATGAATCTGGCATCACACGAGAACATCAAATGTTTTTACTGGAAGTATTAGCTTCCTGGTCAGCAGCTGGCATTAAACATTTGTTTAAATTTCCAAGCCCACAGTATTATCTAAAAGGCACGAATGAATGGGTGCTCTAGCACCATCTTTGTTTCCGTTAAGCAGAAAGAGCTGTAGAAATAAACATGGCTGTAAATTGTCTGGGGTTATACAAAGTCACTTGTGGGATGTTTTCTCCACTTTTAGTTTAAAAAGCTGTGCAACAAGCTTGACATTGACGGCCGAGTGTAAAATCATCACAATACCGCCCCCTCAGAAAAAAAAAAAATTATGCAACCCAGAAAGAGAAAAACAAGACGTGAGGACTTCTAAATAACTTAACTTTTCTTTTTTTTTTTGGTAAGGGGGGGGGGGGGGGGGGGAAGGGTGCAACAAGCACATAGTATCTGTATGTGCTGGGTGGCTATGTTTTTTTGTTGTAATGTCATTTTATGCAGTACTCGATGCCGACAGCACGAGCTCACAGAGGATATAATATTAATAATAATTTTCATTTGCACAGTTGGGTTACTCACTCGGCAGCGTGCAAGGCTACACAGAAAGGTTGAGACACGTACGCCGTACGCAGATGCGCCTGTTAGCCCGCCGCCAAATGGGGGAAAAAAAGAAGAAAAAAAAAAAAAAAGACGATAACAGGCAATGGTGGGGGTCCATATCACATGAGCGAATGACATTTTAGCGAACAGCGACATTTGAGCGAATCGACGTTTTAGCGAATAACGGGAGCGCGCATTAACCCATCAGCCGCGCTGCGCTTTACGCCGCTTCGCGACGACAGTCTGCGGCGGCTCATTACAGAAATGTGAACCCATTTGGCCCACCCGAAAACGCCGCTTCGTGGCGTCCGACTGTTCGCTAAAGTGTCATTCGGTGGAACGTGGGCGTTCGCTAAAACGTCATTCGATCAAGTGAGTGCCTCCCCCTACGTGAAACTAAAGCTAAAGTCAATAACGGCATACGTCTCGGTAGCGTCACACGGAACAACGCAACGTTGTTCCGTGTGACCAAGTTCCGTGTGACCAAGCAGTGCCACACGGACAAGTGCATACCGAAGCGGTCGGGTACTCAACGGTGTTCCGAACACGCGTGCCCCTCGACTGACACACACAGACACACACACACACACGCACAAAAACATGAAATAAAAGCGGCACTTACTAATCCGTGCGTGCTGTACAGGGCTGTGGCCGCAGTAAACGCACCACGTCGCTTGGTGAAGAGCCGCAGGTTGGCTGCAGTTGTCGAGGGCCCTGCTGTAGCCATCGCACTCGCAGTTGCTTGCGTGGCATTGACCTCGCAACACACCTTTGATGTCTTGCGATGAATACATCACCGCCGTATATTTCCAACCAACTTTCCTTTTTGAACGGTGCGGCTTGCGCGAAAAAGAGAAAGCGACGACGACAATGACGACAATGCAATTTCGCGCGACTACCGGCCAAGCTACGCCTTTTGCGCGGGCTGAGCATGCGCGGTAGGACTCGCAAAAAATTTCTTGTTTTTGTTTTCAACTTTTCAGAGAGAGAGAGAAAGGGACTTGAGAGAGAGAATGGGGCTCGAACCCTTTCTCTTTCTCAAGTGTGCGCCGTGCGCCCCGCCGCCGACAGCGGTGAGGGGGAGACGCGGAGACACGCGACTTTTACGGGCTTTTGTGCTTCATTCGCGCTCTCTTTTCTTTAAGCGGGACGGTGCGCTTTGGCGGCTGTCAAGTGAGCCGCATAAAGACGTTCGGGCGGGTTAGGGCCGTTTACAGGTGGTACTTCGATCTTTTTGGGCCGCTTCCAGAGGCGTCACGGATAGTTTTCTTCACAGGGCTGCTTATATCCCGTGTCTTAGGCGGGACATTGAGGAGTACCGCTTGTACCCAGGCCATTATCCAGGACGTAGATAAGAGTGTAGCACTCGCCATTTCGGTCCATTCAAGCCTATTAAGTTTCCAAAGGGTCGTTCTGAATCAGTCCCGCCAAGATCGCTACTGGCGACGAGATGTTTCAGTGGCGCCCTCCTAAGGCCCGTTCACTCACTTGCGTTCGAGTATACGACTGACTGAGACAAGACCGGGTTTTAAGTCACTCGCAACAGCCAACGACCGGATGCGCGGCTGCGGAGCTGGTCCTAAGCCGCCACAAGAGGCTTAAAATCCGATCTTTTTCTCAGTAGGTTGTATTCAAACGCAAGTGTGTGAACGGGCCTGTATGGTTCCCACACCTGTCGTCACAACCAAGATTACTAGAAGGGTGCGACATCTTCGACGGCTAGTAAAGCGTGCGGTGGAAATCTGGTGAAAGAGTCCGACTTTGCTCGTATTCCCGTCGATGAGAGCAGAAATCGTGAAAGGCCGATCACAGCGACGCTTTTGGTCTCGCACGTCACCAATCAAGCATCATCGTACTGAAAGCGTTCCTCGCCAATATGAGCGCCTTTGGCACTGTGCATGAAATGAACTTAATTATCATGTTGATCTCCCCATATCTCGCACAATGGTGTTGCTGTTTCTGCGCATTTCAAGGCAAGGAAATTATTTTTCAATGACGCCAAGCACCGACGCCACATGTGGTGGCAATGCGAAGATGTGCGCTTGTTTCGCCGGTGTGTGAATAGCAAAATCTCGGTATTCAAGGAATGTCTTTATAAAACTACCTGTAACCGGGAATTTGGATCGGCTTACCAAGAATGAAGAGGTTAAGGTAAAACTACTCATTTCATGAAGCACAATGAGAGCTATACAGTTGCATTGGCCACTTTCCCAGTATCTAGTGTACCAGGGAAGACGACGAACAAAGCGTACAGATAGAAGGTCTCAAACAGAGCTAAATGCTTATGGCACTGGGGCACAATACGATAAAATGACTCAAATCTCATTACTGAAACACTTTCGAAACCACCTAGCCGATTAAACAAAACAAAAAAATCAAGCCGGGCGCGCCAGAGGACACTTTCTTAATCCGATATTTGGAGTGCCACGAATACCATCACAGATATGTGTGGCGGCAGCTAAGTACAGTGTATCCTACGCTGTAAAGCGAACCTGAAAAATCGGCGTCTGCACATAGAATACTCAGACTTTCACCAAACGGGTATTTAGGTAGGGTAGTTTACCTTGCGAAATTCAAAGGCTTGGGTTTCTTCCTGTAAAAACGATATCAACAAGCTTACCAGGGTCAAACGCGGACTTGTTCGTAGATGACCGAGTTAGCGATGAATACAAGTTGTGGCGCCACCGCTCGATAGGCGCAGCCTGCAGTTAACGGGGTGCATTGTCTGTTCGGAGCGCCTATGCGTAAATCATGACCAGATATTTGCGACAGGTGCTTGCAGCTCACTTATCTGTCTTCACGTGGCGTATTCACCTCTAACGTTTACGTCGAGTGCGAATTCCCGCCATATCGGAGTGTGTGCAGAGTGAAAAAATAATTTAATTTAAAAACAGAAAAAAATGAAATAATGAGTTTCTCGCGTTTGCAACGTACTGATAACTTGATCATCCTCCCTTGTTATTTCATGGCGATACCGCGATCAAACGAAGAACATTGAAACTTCTAAACAATTTCAAAGAAGTCATCGCACGGATTTCTATAGTTCTTATAGTTCTTGGAGTGCGATATAGTTTCGTACATTCACTGTTGTGAGTGAGCATCAAGCATAAAATAGTACGCTATGATTAATCGTTAATTCCGCACAGGACGTAGGATGCAGCGCCAGCTTATGTATTAATTAATTACATTTGTATAATGTATAGACGCTTTAGGGCAGCTGTGTGTAGGCGCCGCCATAACCGACCTTCAATTTTTGTTTTCTCTTTTCCCGTTCACTTCACTTCATCACTAAGACAGCAGGCTTGCTTATTGACCTTTTAGCCTCTACTTTGTCCTTCTTCCCAGCGTAGGCCTTTGTGGAGGCTAGTCGACGCCCGCCTCAGTGGCTGGGCATCTGGGCAGAAACAAGAGAAGGTCAGCAATGGTGGCTGTAATCTGGCGCGTGTCCAAAGCGTCTATACAGGGTGCTTAGTTTAGGCCTGGCACATCATTTTTGAAAATCAGCTAAGGCTACACTAATGCAGCGCAATCACGTAAGTTATACAGCCACGTGGACAATATTTATAGAGCTAGTCATCACAATAAGTTGAATAATGTACTAACATTTTTTGAATAGTTTTAGTTAGTAAGAATAAACATTTGGTTTATATCAGAAACTTGATGTGCGTCATCAAAAACCACTAAATCAGTGAATTTTAGAAAAAAAATCGCAGCACTTGTGAAGAGCAGTGGTGCACTATTGCTACCACTCGCGCAAGAGGCGCAAGGCTTGCGGTGTGAAAACACGGATGATATTTTTGTCATCAGCGTCCATCATGCCAAATCATCAAAAATCGACGCATACCCAGTAGCATCGTCGATGGTTCGACCGTTTTTACGCATTCATTCGTCCTTTGAAATTCGGGCCTCCGCGCCTCGTCCGAGAACTGTTTGAGGACAACTCAGTCCCAAACTAAAGACGGAGTATAGAATGTAAAGCCCTCGAGCGCATCCTGGTATTACGAAAAATACTTAAAAATGAGTACGTTTTGTTAAAACCACTCTCAAAGTGGGCGACGATTCAGCCGTCTTTATGCATCCGTTCGTCTTTAGAAATTTGGGTATCCGTGCCTCATCGAGAAACGTTTTGAGCTCGGGCGCAAACTTAACTGTCGAGGAAACACAAAATTTAGGGCTTCAACTACAAGCTGCTGCTATGACCAACCTTCTAAAATTAGCCGTATTTGAGTAAACGTGTATGTAATTGGACATGGTTCGACTATTTTCAAACATTCATTCGTCATTTCGAATTCGAGCACGCGCGCCTCATCCAGGAACTTTTTGATATCGGCCGAGCTCTGAACTGGTGACGAAATACAAACTTTATGGCCTTCGACTACGAGCTGGTCTCACTGCAAATCCTTCATCATTTCAAATGTTGGAACACGCGCCGTGTCGGGGACGCTTTGAGATCGACTGAGTTTTCAAATGACGATGAAATATAAAGTTTAAGTCCGCCGAATACAAGCCGCGGTTATTGCAAAGTCTTGGGATTCAGTCCTTTTCGAAGAATGTGATATCAAGTAGGATATTTCAATACGCTCGTTTCCCGATATTTTTTCTTGTTTGTAGGAAGAGCTATTGTGATAATTAATTGAATTTAAACCGCCGGGGTCGCACTGCTTATACATCGTACAAAAGAGAGTTTGCATACAGATTCTTGCGCGAGTCACCGCGAGATCCCTGCTTCGAATGCCGCATGGCAGTGAGTTTAAGGAGAAACTCGGCACGCGGCCTTCGAACCACGGACATTGCGGTGACTCGTGTTTCCAGACTGTCTTTTGTCTGATGTATGAGCAGTGTGACCCCGGCTCTAACATTACATTTGGCATGTGAATGTTAAGTTCACTAGAACAAGCATCCTCGACTAATTCACGGGAGTGCTGCGGTTCCTTACAATGAAAATCGCTTTATTATAATCACATAGCATTCAAAATTAGCGAGAATAGTTTGGGAACTTTTTGTTTAATGATTTAGGATTATCTTAAATAATTCTCATATAAAGAGTGGCCACCGTGGTTATTCTTCTGTAAAACAAACCGGCAAAATCGGCCCCTCCGCATAGGAAGTCCGAACTTTCACCAAATGCCCATTTAGGTAGCGCTATTTCTATTTGCTAGTTTATTGATGTCAGCAGCAGAATATTGCGAATGATTGTAAACGTCTTGACAAGGACGAATTGGCAGGTCTCAAAAACCCCAAAAAATAATTTTGAGAAAAAAGAAATGCACCCAGGACATTGTCAACGCTTCGGGTGTCAGGAACAGTCGAATGACAAAACTTGTATATTGTTGTATTTTTAGGATTTTGGATAAAACCTCGTAGGTTTCTATTTAGAAACCTACGAGGGTACATAAGGGACTCCGCAAGGCGAGCCGAGTCAGTCTCGCCCCAGCGTTCGACTCTGCTGTTACGCCGACTTCGACGCTCGCGCCGCTCTTGTGTTATCCTCTGTTTCCTTTTTATTTTAGGGCACAGGTTCGCCCTATTAAACGTTTAGTTTCTTCAGTTATCACCGCCTCATGCGTTATCATTCGTGCCAATATATGAACAGTGACTACCTGGGAGCAACATCACAAACCGGTGTGCAGACGACGAACATCCGGTATAGGGCATAGGAAACGAGACGCCGTTTGTGTCCTATTTTTATGATTTTATCACCTCTGAATTAGGCTTTGAAAAAAATATAGATAAAACGTCTTGCGAAACTGCGTTCGACTGCCCAGTTTTAGGTATGTGCGCTTGGAATACGAAT